TATCCGTGTCGCATGTTCAGGAGCGAGCATATCCGTTCATCAACACGCCATTGGACAGTGTCTCACGCCTGCAGGAGGTGCTGGGGGGTCGTCTGGGGGTCACGGGGCGGAGCTTAGGGGAGCTGGTGGGGGAAATGGTGCTGCGATTGGCCCACGACCACATCCTGCCGCTGCGCATCACTTCCTACGCCCAGACGGTGCTGCAGTTCAGCGCTCAGCTCAACAAACACTCTGCTGAGCTGCAGGTAGCTCACCTGTTTGAGTGTTTCTACAGCTGTTTAAACCTGTCGCTGTCATGTGACCTCTGTGTGTGTGTCCAGTCCAGAGGTTTGTCTCCTCAGTGGGTCTTCAGTGCTCGAGGAGATTACAGCCGAGCGGCAGAGACGCTGCAGAGAGCCATCGACTACAGCGACCTGCACGAGCCCACCATAACACGCTTCTACAACACTCGCATCATGAAGGTACAAGTACTGCAAACTGTACTGCAAACAGCTGAATCACAAAGACACGAGCCCTGTGCAGAGTACTGCATGTCTTCTCATGTGTATCCTGCAGGTGGAGTACTACTTCCTGTCTCAGTACGTGTCTGCAGTTGAGACGCCATTCCGTCATGTGATCCACGGCCGTGGCAACCATACTCTGAGTGCGCTCACTGAGCACCTGGGCCTGCTGACCTCTGACCCCGGACGCTTCGACGAGAGCAGCTTCAGGCGGCAGCTGGCGCTGTTCACGTGGACGCTGCAGGGCGCCGCCAACGCTCTGAATGGAGACGTGTGGAGCATCCACAACATGCACCGCTTCACCCACTGAGGCTCCAGAGTGATTGATTATTAATTATCGATCAGTATCTATTTATGTGCAGATATGAGTTTACAGTGCAGACATTCAGGTCAATGATTGCTCATCAATCCTTTCACTGATTTCACTTCCATTAAAGTGTTTTACAGACGATGAGATTCTTTATCTTTCCTTTCACCTCCCAAACAGGAAGTTAACATCAGTGACATCATCATTATCATCATCACCAGCTGTCTAGCTCATATCAGTGGTATTTAGTCCCCATTGGTTGATGCATGTGGCTCAGAGACTGGGAGCTTCCGTTTTATAAGTTCAGACCAACTTTAACAAGTACCATAATAGTAGATCCACAGGAGTTATGGCGCCCTCTGGTGGTGGCTTTCAGCATGGTCGCTGCTGGTTACACAGACAGTGCTACGAATGAAAGAAATCAAAGTGGCAGCAGTTCAGCCGGACACAAATCAGTCTCCATCTATTGATTCTAGTGATGTTCCATCAGGTTTTAAAGCACTCTGATATCCTGCTGCTGTTTAGTGCACGTAACAGCGGTGGGTGATGTAATGAAGGCGAGGAAGTTAAATCAGATAACTGAAGTGTGACACACAGAGCTGAAATATGTTGAACTATGAATCTGGTAGAGATCAAAGCTGCTACACAACTGTTGTTACTTCAATATATAAGTGAACACAGTTTATGGTCTGTGGAACAGAGACAGCTGATAACCTCTGCAGTGATGACTGACTGCAGTTTCAGGTTTATGATGCTCAGGTTCATTTTAATTAGACAACATCACAGCTTCATTAATGGATGAAACCACAGAGCTCATCAGCGTGTCTGGCTCCTACCAGAGCTCTGAACAAACACCATGCTAACATGTGTTACAGGTAGAGTGAGGCTTATCTCCACCCTTCCTATGATAAAGAGCGTGTATGCCCTCCACCTCTCTTCTCCTGTGCAGCATGTTTAGCGGTGCTTTGTGTCAGACTGGACCCAGTCGTGCTGTGCATGCTCACCTGTACCTGTGCAGCTCATCCCTTTCACTATTCTGGGGTTCACTGTAATATGGGTGGTGGTCCATGCTTTCCTGCATCCCACTTCCTGTCCCTCCTCTCTGAATGATGAGACCAGGGAACTGGGAGGAGGATCAGCTGGGTCACACGAACACTCTTTAACTGGACTCTGAGAATGAAGCTGAGGCTGCTGTTTGTGGTCCTCCTGCATGGTAGGAACACACACACACACACACACACACACACACAGTGGTGTCAAGACTTATTATTCTGTAATGAGTATGTGTGAAGTCGAGTTTATGTTTTCAGACTTAGTTGAAAATTTTCTTCTTTCATGTGTGCACATGTTTGCATGTCTGTGTGCTTTTGCATGTTTATAGGTTTTGTGTAGGTGCATGTGTGTGTGCAAATGTGTGTTTGTGCATGTTAGACGAAGAGGTGTGCTGAGTGTAATGGCTGCAGATCTGAGCAGTCGGTCTGGAATCAGTTTAGAGTGGAGAACTTTATGTTTTTATTCTACTTGTTTTTGATGTTATTATTGTTCGTCGCTCTTGAGGATGAACTTAACTTTGGGACAGTCATCCGAGGACAGACTGAGGTCACATGACACGTGTTAGACGGAAAGATGATCTG